GGTGAATACTGTGAATACTCTTATTGGCACCACTGTCCAGCAAATTAAGGCAGCCTTGAATTGTAATAGTTCCTGATGATCATGGCACAACTGTTTTCTCTCCTCTCTCCTCTCTCCTCTCTCCTCTCTCCTCTCTACCATCCTTAAATAGGGTGATCAGAAAAGTGTTCATTCAGACAGTAGTGTTTGGGCAGCCTGCTGGTGCTGGTGCTGGTGGTATTCAATGTGGGACAAGTATCTGGGTTAGTTGGGACTTTGAATGCCCTCTCATCAAGAGCTGAAGCTCTTCATTTACTGCTCCTGCTGCTTCTTCTGCTCCTTCTGCTGCTAGTAGAGCTGTTTTTGCTTCCAAGGTTCATTACTTCAGTACAATTTACACCAACTACAAACTTTTTTCTTTTTTGTTTTTTTCTTCTTTTTTGGTGGGGCAGGTTTTATTTTCCTTGTTTTTGTTATTTTAGCAATGTTAGCTTTGGAAAAGCAGTATTTAAAAGAGGAAGTCAAGAACGCACCATACGTGTCTTTCCTGCGGAGTTTCTCTCCAGTCCGTACTGCCATTCTACGCTCTCCTCCTCCACTCCAGCAAGAAAAATTGTATGGTTCGGGCATTGACTTCCTAATCATGGACTTTTAGTTTTATTATATATGAAAAACCATATTTCAATTGTCTGTCTGTCTGTCTCTCATATTCTATTTCTATTGTTGTAGCAAACTTTATATATATATATATATATATATATATATATATATATATATATCTCTATGATGGTTTTTAGTGAATCGGTTTTATGCATGGTTTTCTAAACGGTGGGATTATATTACTTTGTTTTAATTGGAACTAAACTTTGTTTCGTCCACTCATAATTTTCTGTTTTGTGCCCCACAGCCAGTAGTTGACTAGAACGAGTAGCAGAGCTGTGTCGTGTGCTCCTGAATCGCGAGCTTCAGTACACTGAGCCTTCGTAGAGTTTCTGTACTCTGTAAATTTGTTAAACTTTCATTGATTGATATGACCCTAAGTCACTAAGCAAAGTCTCTCTCCCTCTCCTTTCCTTTTAGTTTGTTTTTAAAATTTTAATTTCTTTGAGGTTGAATCCCATTTACTTACATCAATCTACATGTTGGAGTTTTGGATGCCTTGATTCATTGGGAAGCAAGATTAGTGTTGCCTTGATATATTTGGCAACCAAGATTAGTGCTCCCCTTGATATCCGGAACAAACTAAAAACCAGTTTGCAAAGTCAAAAGGATTAGAATTGTGTTGTTTGGAAACAATTATGTATACATGTTTGATTTGATTTGTTTATATTAAGGTTTGATTAAGAGGAGTGATAAAGATGATGCTTGAGGAGCTATGGTGGTGGTGGTGGTGGTGCTACTGCTATTGCTATGTATGTAAATGTAATGGCACATGGCACATTGGCACCTGTGAAGCGAGTGAGTACACTCTCATAAAGATGGGTTTCATTCATTTCATCAAAGTTAGCACAAGCAAGCTTTATAGTAACTAGTTTTCTAGTCTGTTTGGAAACTAGTATAGCCATAAAGGCATGTCATCAATGCACCTCTATCATTTCTGATGATCCTTCCCTCCCTTCCCTTCCATCGACATTATTAAAGTTTTGCCATTGCCAACTTGTGACAATTTAAGAAAAGAAACCGAACGTGGATGTGCAGTAGACTTCATTTTCATATTATGTCTTGTCTTGTCTTGTCTTTTTTGATTCGGAAATATTTTCAAATGTTGAGAAGGGTGATGAGGATACACCTTAGGTTAAAGTGATGAGCAAAAATACTATCTTTTTGATCCCATCATCTCCTTTCCTTTATCCTGTACAATGTGGTCTGCAGTAGACTTCATCCAGGTGTTGTTGATTGGAGGGCTGGGCTGGGGCAGTGGAGTTTAATTTTTGATGGGTCTTTATTTCAGTCTTTGATCCATTTTAAGTAAACTAAACCCAACCCATAGATCCCATAGATAATAATAAATCTGCTTATGGGCATTTTAGCCCAACGCTGAACATGAGAGAAGAATGGCCCAAGTTCCATTACACATGTTTGATTTTTAAAAGAGAATAAATACTAGTTGGAACATTCATATTCTGATTGTTTGATTGTTTGATTGTTTGTTTGTAGACAAAAAAACAATCTGAATATATAAATATAATGAGATTAGGAATAATTAATGTGTGTCTTTTCTTCTCTTATTAATCCTAAAAGATCAAAGAAGATATTAATATCATCAGTTTGCGTTTCAAGTTTGGCATTGGCACAAACAAACTGAGCCTAATCACATGGGCCAAATTATTTACCCAGTAAGTTACTAGGAAGGGAGAGTTAGGCAGGCAGTCATCTATCTACATACCATGTGAGTGTCAGCAAAGAAGAAAGAAAGAAATCCAAACCTAAAACTAAAACTAAAACTGAAGCATGCAATGATGCAATTGCAATTGGTCCTGTACTGTCCTGGCCCCTGGATCAACTTTCATGGCTGGCTTCATCCATCAGCCCTAAAATGAAGAGGCTTTGGGATCCGTGGAAAAATAACAAGAGCCTCACAATCTTCAAACTTGTTGGTATTATTATCAAAATCCATGTGAGCAGCCTTTACACCTTTGTTTTGTGTTCCACTTCCCTTCCCTTCGATTCGATTAATTGGTTGGCCTCACTTTGGGTTGGAAATTGGGTGAAGTATGAAGCACCAGTGGATGCCAGCCAATCACCCAGTGGGGCCCTGCACAGGGTAGGCACTGCCAAACAAGCATGCATTATGAATCTATGATGATGATATATAATGATACGATCCGAATGAATCTTTATCCTCCTCCTCCTCCTATCCTAGCTTAGAAAAAAAATAAAACAAAGAGAGATTCCAAATATTTAATTCCAAACCAGAGCCAGTCTCAAAAATTTAATTCCAAAGGTAGCATTTGTATTTTATTTATAAGAAATGGGGCTTTCCGAATGAAACATGAGATTTCATTTTCATGTTGCAAACACTTTTGAGACACACGAAAATAAAATAAGAGGGAATATACAAGTTTGTCATGATTTCTTAATTTTAAATGTAATTAGCATTTCATCCATTCTCTTCAAATAACACCTCCCTCCCACTAAATAATCACGGTCCAAAAGACTGGATTTTTTTTTCATTTGTTTATTTTTCTATGAAAGATAGATCCACTTCTCGATTGAGTGATCGTTATTTCCTTTTGTTCTTGGCTCTGTGTGTGTGTGGATCACTGAATGGGTCTGCAGGGCACGTGTCAATGACCTTTTGGTGTTCAACTTCAACCCAACCCAACTAACCAAAGCATAGAAATTTAAGACTCAAATCTTTCCCCCGACCACGTTAGATACTAGAAACTTGTGGCTGCAAATATTTCAAGGTTTTTTTTATATAAAAAATCCTTTAGAGTTTTGGCCTAATAATACTACTACCAGGTGGGCTCCACTTTTGCTTTCACCCTGCACCTACGCGTTTAGGCTTCTATTCTATTCTAATCTTATCATTACTAAAGTCAAGGTTCATCTGGACCGTTCATCTTACTTTAATGTGGTTTTCTCTTTAATCCCATTGCTAATGTAAATAATACTATGTTACAAGTTCCCGGAATTAATTGAATTATTAAAGTATCTTCTACTCTGCAATAATTGTTACTGATATTTTATTTGGTCTTTTTTTTTTCTATGAACATATGAATATAGAAAGAAATTCGAACTTAAAACTTCTTTTAATAATAAAAAAATAATTACTATAACAATATAATTATTATCTTATAAGAAGAAAAAAAACAATATAATTAATTTTTGTGATGAATAATAACTCCTGTTGTTTGAAGATTGAAATTGAGTGGGGGTGGAGGCGGTGGGGCCCGAGGGAGTGGCGTTTAGAAAAGGAAGCCACGAAATAAAGCGCAGCTGAGGTGTCAAAAAGCGCAAGATAAAAGAGAGGTGGGAACCACCTTAGTTCGTCACACTCTCACCTCCCTACGTCTCTATTTTCAGCAAAATCCACATCCACATTTTTTCCGGATATAATCTTTTTTCAATAATATAAAAGAGATTATCGATCAAGATTGAAAGCTGAGGGGACACCACTTGCACTTTTTCCACTTTTTCCACTTTGCACTTTCGATATGAGATGAGATTTAGAGAGGGACTTGGCCCTTGGCCACCCCTCTTTGTCTCTCCTTGTTTCTTGTGGCTCAGATATTTTCTTCCTTTTCTTTTTTTCATTTCCACCTATTTTTTTCATTTTCTTAACGCATTTAAATTATAAATTAAGCAAATTAAATAATACTACAGTGAAGAGGGCCTTGGTTGAGACTAATACATGTACTCAAAAAATAAAAAATTTCTATCGCCTTTGAGTTTTCTGTGTTTATTTTTCCTCGTGATTCTAGAAACTTAGTTGAGTTTTGATGAGGGTTCTTAGTCTCCCTACGAGAGTCATGTCGATTAGTGGCTAGTTTTAATTTTTGATGTTATTGGACTAAATTCGGGAAAATTATGGCAGTTGAAAGGGGTTATAGAAAAAGTATTTAGCTTTTCGGTTGGCTCAGATCACTGAGAAAGTTTTACTCAGGTCTGTCATATTGTTATAAAAATGCCTCCTTTTACAGTATGGGTTGTTCCTACTCTTTATTCATATTGATTTAATAAAATTATATTGCTTTTTGTCTAAAAAATATTTATTATAGTCCATGAGATTGGAAAATCTAAATTTAAAATGAAAACAGAAATATCTAATTAGTGAAAAAGGAAAGCCTCCTCCTCTCCTCACTCATCAGTGTTTGTAATATCCGATCTGGATTGGACTTAATATCTTCCACAAGAATATCATATCAGAGAATGAATAAAAATTAGGATTTTTCGAATTTTCTTAATTTGGGAGAAAAGCCGAAAAGGTGGGAGACAGAGTACCAGAAAGTGCCGAGTGTCCCCTGCGTTCTCAGCCACAAGATTCCCAGGCCCTTCTCGATTTTTCATTGCCAAATTTGTCAACAAAATTTTCAAAAATTAAAAATACTCACTCTGACGTGGCATCCCCTGCTTTTACTTTCTTCCTCCATATAACTCTGAATTTCTTTGTGCGCTTCTTCTCAACTATCCTCCTAATCTCTCTCTCTCTCTCTCTCTCTCTCTCTCTCTCTGTATTCATCTTCATCTCCTGCTTCCCTGGATTTGGATTTTGCTTCTTCTTTCTCTTTCGGTTTTGCCTTTTCGTTTTCTTTTATTTCCCGAGAATCCGACGGCGGAATCTGTTTTTTGTTTATCGGGAAAAGCCGAGGAGCCTTCTGTTTTCTCAGCTAGAAAAAGAAAACTCTCAAGACAAGTTTGTTTTCAGTCTTTCAGATACCATTGAGGTAAGCTTCTGATTGATCTGGTCTACATAAGCAAAAAACTTTTCTTTTTTTTCTAATTTCCCAAAAAAAAAAACACTTTTCTTCTTTTGCGTTTTTATTATTTATTTATTGGAAAAGTCTGCTTGGTTCTTGTTTATTATCCTTATTTTTATTTAAATGCAGCGGACTATCCAATTAATGAAAGCTTGTTTGTGTTTCTTTTATTTGTGGGCAATCAATTTCCAGGTGTAGTGCGTTAACCTTTTGCAGTAAGTAACGTGCTGGACTTGTTCTGTTTCTTTTGAGCAGCCATGGCTGTTGAGGTATGCAAATGCAATTTGGCTTACTGTGTTACAATTTTCTATCTTTTCAATGAATGATTTTGATTGGGATTTGATTTTAGTTTTCCAATGAGCACTCTCTCTGTTAAGCAATTTTAGATTTAAATATTTCTTAGTACAACTTGTTCCAGTCCAAGATGTGAGAAATTTGACCCTCAACTCAATACCAGATCATGCATAGTTCAATAGATATGTACCACTTTGGGTGAACCTCGTATAGATGGTGCATAATCTTGATTTGAGGTTGGGATTATATGTGTGATTCGGTAATCTCATGTAAAACTGGTGCAGAATTATTTGTGTGTGTTCCTCCCAACTGAATTGTGTACTAATGTTCGACGCTTGTTCACTTGTTTTGACTATGTTGGATGAAAAAGTATCAACCCGACTTTGTGTTTGGCCATAGGATCACAGTGAAGCCACAGGGTCAAACGCCTCTGTTGCAGCTGCCGATTGCAGTCTAAAAGGCGATGCACAATCTAAACCAGCGATTGAACTCAAGGAGATATCTTCCTTTGGCAATGACCATACACCTAAGGTTCCCTTCTTCTCTTAGCTTTCGTTTTTGGAGCATTTCTTTTGGCCAAAAGTCTATGTACCCTGCTCAAGTTTTGGCTAAATTAATTCTCTCTTTCTTCAGATCAGGAAACCTTACACAATTACAAAACAAAGAGAAAAATGGACAGAGGAAGAGCATCACAAGTTCCTTGAAGCCTTGAAATTGTATGGCCGCGGTTGGCGTCAAATAGAAGGTATGTTCAGGGCTGCATAACTATCTGTCTAAGAGAAATTTTCTTTTACACAATCTGATGATGAAGTTATTCTTTATCTTCATTCAGAACATGTAGGCACCAAAACTGCAGTTCAGATTCGAAGTCATGCTCAAAAGTTCTTCTCTAAGGTATTAACTTTAGTGAATGCTCTTGACTTGAGTTCATACTTCCTATTATAGTATGCACACGATCCAAACATTTCTTGAGTTAAACGTTTAAGGTCACATGCCATTAAACCGTCAGTCGGTTGTATTTTCTAGCTAGTATTTATTTTCCATTGCATTGATGTGGTTTTTCTTGCTTTCAGGTATCTAAGGAGTTGAGCGGACCTAGTGAAGGCTCCATCACACCAATTGAGATACCTCCTCCACGGCCTAAGCGGAAGCCTGTGCATCCTTATCCACGTAAATCAGTCGATTCTCTCATTGGATCACCAGAAAGGTCACCGTCCCCGCATTTTTCAGTTTCTGGGAAAAGCCAAGAATCGCCTACTTCAGTATTATCTGCACTTGGTTCAGATGTACTGGGGTCTGCAGCTTTGGACCAGCATAGCAGATCTGCAACCCCAACTTCATGTACCACTGACATGCGCTCAACCATCTTATCCCATGTTGAAAAAGAGAATGATTACATGACATCCAACTCATCCACTGAAGAAGTGAAAGAGTCCGTGCCATCAGTTCAATTATCTGCTGACTCAACTCCTGAAAAATTTGCGTGCATGGTAAGTGAACTGTAACTGTTATTGTTAATTTAAATATTGATTCCTCTATTCGGTTTTGGGCTCTGAGTTCTGACTCTGGTTACCCCTGTGTTGATGTGGATGTCCAGAAACATGGATCGGGTTCCAATCACGTTGTGAATACAGAAGGAGATGCTGGCAGTCCAAGAGCTTCTCCAAGTATTAAGCTATTTGGAAGGACAGTTTTGGTATCAGACTTGGAGAGACAATCTCCACCTGGTAGTGTTACCGAGGATTCAAAGGCTAAACAAGAGAATTGTCAGAGGGAGAATGATATGCTTGCTCAAACATTAAGATTGGATGAGTTAGACACGCGTTTGTCACTCGGTGGAATTGTGGAACACCAAAAACAGAGCCCTAATTCTCAGAAAGTTAACCCTGATGCTCATCAGCCATGGTGGTTTATGCATCATGGTTTAATACCATTTTTCCAAGTCAGATCATGTAACGAAAACTCAGTTCAAATACACGCCAATTCTTTGGCGGATGAAACAATGAAAGAGACGGAAACGTCTTTATCACACGATGGTTCAGTTAGTGCAGTGGAAAATTTAGCAGAGAAGCATTTAGAGGCTGCTGATGCGTTACGCGAAGAGACGCAATCTCTCCCTTGCAGTTCAAGAAAGGGGTTTGCACCATACAAAAGATGCTTAGCAGATAGAAATATGAACTCATCAGGAGAGATGAGGGACAGACAGCGGGCTCGTGTCTGCTCGTAGTTCCCATGGCAGATGCTCTGTTTTCTAGCTTATCGCAATACCCGCATAATTAAAAATCCATGCTTCAGTTTAAATTGTTGGCGTCTGATGTTGCATTTTTTGCAATTTGAAATAACTGTAACGTCCTTTATGGATTTATTCTTTTTACCCTATTCTTTCAATGAAATGATTAGGCTTCAATTCAATACATATTCGTCTCCTAACTGGAACTGGGATTAGACGAGTGGAAATATTTGATACGAACAATACATAAGATTTCTTTTTTAACTTGTAATGCGATGCGCAATACCACATTCTTACAACCCCATGAATTTAGTAACTTAAATTGAAAGAACATATTCGTAGACAGCAGTATACAAGAAGGAGAATTGAGAATTCTAACAAAGTGGACGTTCGAGCTGACTTTTCAATACCGTCTTGGGTTTTGTTTGGGAGTTTGACGGAGCTCTGATCTGGGCTTTGCAACTTCAACAAATATTACTCTGCCATCCAGAAACTGAAAATACAAAACAAAGAAGAAAAATTCAAAATAGTTTCTTCTGCCAGAGCTGCAGTGTCTCAATTCATATTCAAATTCAGTAGGCTTGACATGCCAAGAACCCAAGGGCCTTGTTTGTCTATTTATAAGGCTGCGCTGTCATGCCTTCCATTCCAGATTAAAATTCAGAAGCCAGTTTGGCTTTTGCCAAATGCTTACACTCTATGAAACTCATGTGGAGGACTTATCGGAACCCAACTTAACAACGCAAAATTCAAAGAGACTACCAATCCACAGAACAGAAGGCACTTTATTTGTACTAGACTCTGCTGATGGACTCACTCTGTAAATAAATCATGTCCGCTCAATCAATGACCAAAGCACGCAATCAAGAGAACCTGAATGCAAAATTAACTCCAAAAAGTTTGAAACACATGAGCTCTTTGATTGCGATTACTTCCTAGTGGAATTTGAGTGATGGAATGTATTGACTTTTGGTTTTGTTTTTTTGGTCAGAGACTCTTGGTTGCAAAGCATGAAAACATGGATATAAGAGACACACTAGTTCTAACCTCAATAACACGAACAGTAATTAATGTCTTGGTGATGTTCTATAAATGATGATATGTCATTGTGCCTGAGCTGGTTATAAGCTATGCTACCAAAGACTGATATTGTTGCTTCATTTGTTTGGAGCCCGATAGTCCGAGAGAGTACCTCAGCCTTGAAAACAGTTGAAGAGTGCTGCCTTTGTGCATGTTTGTAGAAATAATAGAACAAATAGATCAACAGACTGAATCAGACTAATAAACCCGAGCAATACCAGGACAAAGTTGGGTCATCTAAGGCACTAACGGATACAAAGACACACGCATAAAGCAAGCAGTATGAGACTATCAATCAAGGAAGGCAAATTTCTCGACCAGGTGTGCATTAGGAATTGTTAGTTCCACTGAAAATCATCAACTAGAAGGATCTTTGGCTTCACATGCAACTAATGGTCAATAGTCTTAGATACACAAATAGTTGTTTTCATACACTGGCCAGGACTCGCTCACATCTCTCCCTCAAGCACTGATGGTAATGGTATATTGTATGAATCTGATATATCATCAGTAAGTGGTGCAGTGTCATTTGTTTCCTAGTTTTTCATCTTGTTTTCAAAAGAAAGAAAGGAAAGAGAAGCCTCTTGGCCAGCACATACCTTTCCGTGCATTCCCTCGATAGCCTTTTGAGATTCCTCTTCAGTTGCATAGCGGAGAAAAGCAAAGCCTCTTGGCCTATTTGCTATTCTATCCATCACCAGATTGACTTTAAATGAAAAGCAGATTCTTAAGAGAGTGAAAAGAAATAACCAATAGCTGACCCATAAAAACACTGACAGATGCTATAGGCAGCTCAACTAAGAAAAGGAACATGTTAACATCTTTGCTCTCACCTTCTACAAGTTGTCCAAAATTTTGGAAAGCATTTCGCAAACTCTCCTCAGTGGTACGAAATGAAAGCCCTGCATGACAAAGCATATTAATTGTGATGTTTTGTTCCACTCTGAACTCTGAAGAGTCTTAGACAGAGCAATAAACTTCAATTTTGAGAAAATATTGAGAACCATATGAGAAATTGAACAATGCCCCGTCATTGATACGTAATATGCATTCTATTAACATAGAGTTTGAACTGTGGGGATCCTTGTTTTCAGTTCTTAGACACATGACTCCACGAGTGTTGGTTAGCCAAGAGGACCCAAGTGCATAAATTGTCCATCAAGCCTACAGACCTCCTAAAGTATGGTGCTTTACAATGTAAATTGGACAGAGTTTTCAGAGGCTAATCCTAATCCAAATCAAGTTTTTTTCTTCTTCTTCTTTTTTTCTTTTGCAGAGCAGCAGGAGTAGAATTGTAATTCAGGTAAACAGAATATAGATCAGAGAATTCCACTATTGTATGTATCATCAACAACAAAAACCCAATAGCATTTGTGCATCATTATACTGCAAAATATGTTAAAGGAAATTAGATTAGGAAAGAGAGAACTGACTGACCACTGACGTAAAGCTTGGTAGAGGTGTTGGGAGAATAGGAAGGAGAAGAAGAAGAAAGAGACGCCAAAGGTAAGACGGTGCGGCGTTTGTGCCTGGGAGAGGAGGAAAGGCAAGGGAGTAACTGCTTCCGCCAACCACAACAAGTTAATGAGGAACTGGAATTGCCCGTAATACTGATACAGCAACCCACCTGAGACTCAGATGTTTTCTGTTGCTTGTGCCTGCTACTGGTATCGGCCAAAGCCCATAGATTTGGAGCGCTCCTGAGGACGACGCTCGTTGCCATTTTGGGAAGAATCAACTATCAGTCGGTATGAACTATGAAGGGGAATTACAGACATGTACTTGGCGAGCGAGAGACTTATCTTCTTCCACCACGTTGTAGTTTACCGGCTAAATTACTATTTTCCCCCTAATTTTACGCTTGCCTAATTTATTTAATCTTTTACAAAAAAAAATAAAATAAAACGGAAAAAAGAAAAAGGAAAAAACCAGTTAAGGGGGTGTATTCAATTAAGATTTTAACAGATTGTAATTACATGATTTTAATGTAATGGATTTCAACCGGATTTGTAATTATATGATTTTGCTTATGATTTTAATAGATTGCAATTACATGATTTTACTTATGATTTTATTCACTTATGATTTTACTTATGATTTTAATAGATTATAATTACAGGATTTTATTTCTATGGGAGTATGTTTGCTCACCACATTAACCAATAAAATCTCATAAACCTTTCTGCCCACTTTGCAACATAATATTTATAATATTATAAAAATGTTATTAAATTGACAAAAAACAATACACCCATTGAAGACAAAATTTGTTAAACCGAAACCAAAATTGAATTCATAGAAAATATTTCAAAATAACTCAATAAGTGACAATAAAATGTTCTAATGACATTGAAGTAATTTTATATAGCAATTAAAATATTAAAGTTGTAGATATAACATGATGTTGTAAGGCTAACGGCTGAAAGAAACTAGAACCAAAATAAATCAGTTTTTTGATTCCATAC